TGTCTGTCTGTGTGTGTGTCTGTCTGTCTGTCTGTCTGTCTGTCTGTCTGTCTGTCTGTCTGTCTGTCTGTCTGTCTGTCTGTCTGTCTGTCTGTGTCTGTCTGTCTCTCTCTGTCTGTCTTGCTCTATCTCTCTATCTCTCTATCTCTCTATCTATCTATCTATCTATCTATCTATCTCTCTATCTATCTATCTATCTATCTATCTATCTCTCTATCTATCTATCTCTATAGATCTATCTACTGTCTATCTATCTCTCTCTATCTCTATCTTTCTCCCTCGCAGTCTCGAAGCAGAAGCTCCACACCCTCAACCTCTCTCTCTGCCGTGCCTGAACCCTTAAACCAGAAACTCTTAAGAGCCCTATCCTTAAACCATAGTATCCCAGTAGGCATCCCACTTTTAATTTATATGCCCGCCCCAAATCCCTAAACCAGTAGCACACTGAGGAGATCGGTTGCAAGGTTTGCCAAGCGGCTCATGTCGAGCTGAGTACACGCCGCGCGGAACTCCTCTATTGAGATGCTACCATTGTGGTCCTAAGCGCCGCAAGGAAGATGCCGAGAACATCAAGGGCCCATGGCTTCGGAGTTGGCTTTTTCGGTTTCAGGGCTTGGGATTGAGGGTTCAGTTGGTGAGGTGTAGGATTTGGGGTTTCGAGCTCAGGCTTAAGGGTTGACCTGAGGATTTGGAGCTTAAGGTTCACGGCCTAGGTGTGCGTCTGGGTGTCTTAACCTATACATAGTTTTAAGCAGTGAATACCTCAGCCCACCAGAACCTCATTTTTTGTAGGGTCCAAAAAGTGGGTTTTGGTAGGTTAAGGTAGAGTTTAGGATTAGGGCTTTACGACCCGGCTGACAGCAAGCTGCCGCCCTACGTCCTGTTGTGATGCGAGAGTGTCTCAATGACAAGCGACAGGCTGCTAGGTAATTATGCTTGTAGGTCAGCAGAAACAGAACATCTAAGCTGAGAATACTTCTACAACCTACATATACACATGCAAAAACAATGCACATCTGAAGCCCAAGCTCCTGAATTGCTATATTTGTGGCAAAGGTGAAGACTCAAATCTCCGAAGCGGTTGGGAGTTGATGTGATAGCGCTGTCGATGCTACTGCTATTTGTGAATACCTCGGTATCAAGTCATGTAGAGTTGAAAGCGCTGAGCATTACGTATAAGTTTCACCCTTTCAGCACGGACTGAGGTGCCGGCCAGCGCCCAGGCAACAAACCCTAAACCCTAATGTTTGACATCGCTGGTTTGCACAAACACGACGGAAGGTCAGAAATGCCATGGCAGCTGCTCGCTTTGCGCCTTTGCACTGCATTAGTAGCATGTTAGGGTTTAGGGGTTAGGGTTTAGCATCTTGCATCTCGCGCTTGCTGTTGCCACTGGTGGAAGATTTAGTCTAAGCTGGTCTGAAACCACGTGCATTCCTTTTTTGTGTTTTTACTCATGTCCTCTTCCTTGCAGGTGATGGATGCTAAAGGCTTCAAGCCTACGTTGCAGGCTTAGCGTAAACCCAGAACGCTGAAAAGCCAACTGCGAAAGCGCAGCCCATGTGCCCAGCCTACAAGAAACCTCAAACTCGAGTCCAATTCAGCCCAGATGCAGCATCCACTTTTTGGAACACCTGCAGCTGTGTGCTCCGATGGGGGCACGAAATCATCACAACCATTGTCTTCAACTGTGTTGTCATCGTCATCGGCGTGCTTGGGGCTTGCATCAGCACCTCCATCTCATCATCATCAGCAGCAAGTGCAGCAACGGTGACAATGAAACATAGACATCATGCTTAATTACAGCAATGTAGCATGACTGCCTAAAGCAAAGAAGCACAGATAGACTCTCCAGCATACTAGACGACATCTTCCACAGAAACCAAGTGAAAGAGAAGCATGTATAAGCCAGAAAATCCATGAGAAGCCCCCCAACCAATATCCGAAATTTCAAAGCACCCAAGGCTTGGGTCAGGGAGAACCCTTTTTTTGCCAACACCGAGGACGGACACCTTCCAACTTTCAGCGTAGTGGTCACGCTGAAGCTTGGTGGCCAGTGCGTTCAGCAGGATCATGTGAGCCATGCCCTGGAAATTGGAGGGTTTAGGCTTTAACCTCCCGAGAGTCTCACAAGCCAGACGAGGTCTCTCGGTTCGCAGTCGGAATGAAGGAGATCTACTTCTCAAGTGACTCATGTGTCAAGCAGTCACAGTAGCGAGTATCAAGGTCAGTCAACAACAAACGAGTTCAACATGAGCGTCAGGGCAGACACTGCCACCTAACCTCGAGGCACCAGGAGATCGTCTGAAACCAGATAAATGGCAGGATCTCTGTGAAATCGCAACCTCTAAATCACATTCCTTCTTTTTAGAATATACATGTATATATATATAATAAGGAATCCCCCCAAGATAGTCTAGGTACTTATAGGCCCCAAGAGTACATGCGGAAGCACGCATATCCTGCAAATCATTCCACCGGCACGAAGTCTAGATCAGGATACACGAAGGGGCGCTCGGGGTGATTCCACCAGGCGAGCTAGTTAGAGGTTCAGTACTTAAAGCTTTGGGGTTGGCGTTGAAGTCTTTGAGGTCATGATCCTGAAGCCCTAAACCCCAAACCCTGAGCCCGATTGAGAAAAGCAACTGCCAAATATCCCCACACAGCCGAAATCCCAAAGCCAACTCCTAAACGACAAACCCCTAAACTCCCAAACCCCTAAGCTCTAAATTCTAAACCCCCTTAAATCCCCAAACTTTAGGCTCTAAACCTTAAACCCCTAGATCCCTAAACTTGATATCCTGGAGAGGCCAGGCGGCCTTGCTCTTCTTGAATTCTAACCTGGGCCAGGGTTTAGGGCTTGGGGTTTACTGTTCAGGGTTGCGGGTTTGGGGTTAGGTTGTAGTGGTTAGGGGTTTAGGGTTTCGGGTTGGGGTTCAGGGTTCAGTGATTCGGGTTTACTGGTTAGTTTGTTTTGTTTTAAGTGCCGTCTTGGTCGCCAGTTAGCTGGTTCATGGTTGGGGTAGTATTAAAAATTTAAATTTATATTCCTTATTGGGTTTAAGTACCCTTAAAAATGTAAAATGCTACCCAACTATGACAAAGTTAGGGCTTGGGCACACGGATTTCGGCCTCGCGTTCCTTTGTCGCCCGAGCGTCGAGGCACTTCGGGGCCGAAACCCCCCTTTTTACAGCAGGCCTCGTGCACAGCAGCCCGGTCCCCAGCACACTCGC